TCAGGCGAGGGGGAGTGAAGGAAGAGGTAGAAGCCTCAGAGGGCTGCAAGGCCATCGCCTGCATCCTCGAGAGCTCCAGCACCTTGAGACGCGTCTTGGTCGGGAGATCCTCTGCTAACGACCCGGGGGGAAGGAGGTAGCCTTCAAGCCACAGCCCCGTGCCTGCGTTCTCTACACTTCCCCAAAGTCCTCCTGCCCCTGCCCCTGCCCCTGCCCCTGCCCCTGCCCCTGCCCCTGCCCCTGCCCCTGCCCCTGCCCCTGCCCCTGCTCCTGCTCTGTCTCCTCCCCTCCCTCCCACTCAACTTATCGCCTCCCTCCCAAGCATCTTGTGCGAGGGATGACCTCAGCTGTCAGGTCCTCAGGCAGTACGTGATGGAACGAGGGTTTGACATCAAGAGAATCGCGTGAGCTGTAAAATAAATGGAAGGGAAACATGAGATACACCAAGGAAGCAGCTCTAGCGGAACCAGCAGAACAGGAGGAGGGGAGGGAGGGAGAAGGAGATAAAGGAGGGAAGGGCGAGGAGGGGAGGATGGGGTGGAGGGGGAGATGGGATGGAGCGATTGACAGCAGGGGACAAGAAGGAGCGAGAAGGGCGGGAAGCTATCAATCTCCGAGGTTGTAGGAGACCTTGAGAACTCCTCGCTTGATCTTGATTGCTGTCACCTTGATCTCCCCGATCTCTCTCACGTCCTTCACATGCGTCCCTCCACACGGGCACCACCAGTAGCTCCCCACCACCCTCACCAGCCGCATGCCCCGCTGCTCCTGCACCCCTGTCAGCTCCTCTTCCCACCTCGCCGCCTCCGAGCACCGTGGAAGGAGGAGCAAGTGGCCCGCAGAGTTCGGGGAGGGAGGAGGGGTCCTCCACAGTCATCACTTGGACCTCATGACCCTCCTGGATCAGCCGCGCACACTCCTGCTGGACCCTCTCGCAGGCAAGAGCTCGCTCCTCCGGGGGGATCTGACCGATGTACTCGACACAAGGCGCTGCTTGAGGAGTCAGAGACGTGCAAGGAGAGGGCGGAAAAGGAGGAAGGGGAGAGGGAGGGGGAAGGGGAAGGGAAGAGGGGAGAGGGAGAGGGAGAGGGAGAGGGAGAGGGAGAGGGAGAGGGAAGGGGGTGAGGCTTGGAGGATTAGCGTAGCGAGGGGGAGGAAGGGAAGAAGGGGAAAAAGAGGGAAGAAGAGAGAGGAACGGGAAGGAGGAGGAGGAGGAGGAGGAGAAGGGGGAGGAGGGAAGGGGTTACG